ATATTTTTTTTTTTTTTTTTATATAAAATTTTGAAAATTTTGAAAATTTTAGCAAATTTTTTTTAACGAGAATTTATTATTATTATTATTATTATTATTGAAATCTTTTTTCATATAACCAAAAAGATTTTTACATTTTTACAGTATTTTTTTCAATCTCATATATACAATATACAATATACAATATACATACTATATAATATACAATTATGAATTACGGGTTAATAAATTGTAAAATTGTTGAAAGTTGTTTTAAAGCAGGAGGAACAATAATAATAAATGAACAAGTAGCAAAAAAAGTTTTGGAAATTCTTGATAATGATAATTTATTAAATTCACAAGAAAAATTAGAAGCTAAAAAAGATATAATACGTGGTCTTGATACTTATAATTTAAAAGAAAATAATGATTTTAAATATTATTGTAATAAATGTAATTTAAAAGGTCGTACTAATTTAAATTGTGAACATTGTGTTAGAAATATTTTAATTGAAAATTTTAATAAATGGACATCAGGTATTATGGTACTTGATAAAACTATTCAAAATTCTCAAATTGATTATCCTTTACCTGGTCATTTTCCTGAATGGATTCCTTATAAAGATTTAGATGATATTAAAGAAAAAACAAGAGGTGGTTTTGCTACAATTTTTAATGCAAAATGGAAAAAAGGAAAGATTATTACTTTTTCTTCTGAAACTGATTCATTTCTTAGAACGGGTCCTATACCTGTTATTCTTAAACGTCTTCCCGATTCATATATGTATGATGAAAAATCCTTTAATGAGGTATATGTAAATTTAAAGCGAGATTTGAGATTTAAAGATTTAAAGTGAAATTGTATATCTAACATTAATAATTTGTTTTTTTAGCTTCAAATCCATATCAGAGCATCATTTTGGGGTAATCATGCGGTCACTTTATACGGAGTAACAAGAGATGAAAGTACAAATTTAAAGAATTTGATGTTAGTTCTTCGTCCAATGGTTTGCAATCTTTGGGAATTCTGTTCTGAAAGATTGACTTGGAAAGATGTTTATCAAGCATTCTGGTTTATTGCCAACGGTTTAACACAACTTCATTCCAAAGGATTATTACATCGTGATCTTCATCCAGGAAATGTTTTAATTCGAGAGAATCAATATTGGTTATCAGATTTTGGACTCTCAGGACCTCCATCATCATCCAATAATCAAATATATGGGAATACACCATTTATGGCACCTGAAGTACTTAAAGAAGGTAATTACACTACTGCTTCGGATATTTATGCTTTTGGAATGTTGATGTGGATGATTGCCAGTTCATCACCTCCATTTAAAGATTATGATGATGAAATACAATTGCATTTGGCCATCATAGAAGGTGAACGTCCAAGAAAGATATTAGATATTCCAATAGAATATAATTTATTAATGAAACGTTGTTGGAATGAGGATCCTAAAGAAAGACCAAATGCTCAAGAACTTTTAACATTTTTTACTGAAGTTATAACAAATGAAAATGAAGAAAAATATAATTTTTTAAAAAATTATATTAAAGAGAAAGAGGATAATAAATATCCGATTCAAGTTCAAAGTATTTGGGAAAGTCGAACACATAGCATTTATTATTCAAATGGTTTGTATATACTGATGTTTATAAATAGTGATGTTTATATATACTGATGTTACTGATGTTTATACATACTGATGTTACTGATGTTTATATATACTATATGATGTTTGATGTGTTTGATGTTTATATATGTTTACATATGTTTACATATGTTTAAAAGAAAGAATAATATTGATTTTTTTTTTTTTATTTTTTTTTTTTTTAGATATAGATACGATGTCATCAATCTCATCATTTGAAGATTGTGCCATCTAAAATAATAAACTAATCGGTCAATACCGTTAACGAAATTTCGAGATATTACAAGCGTGGTATATACACTTTTTTTCATTCGTAATAGAAAGCAAATTACAAATAATATAAATAGTATACAAAGTGCCAGAAACTTAATATAAATCAACGTTTCAAACCGATTTTTTTTTTTTAAAAAAAAATTTTTTTTTCTTCTTTTCTTAAATATATAACGATAATGAAACTTTCGTAATGAAATGAAAGTTTCGTAATGAAAGTTTTGTAATGAAAGTTCCGTAATGAAAAGTTCCGTTTTAAAAATTTTTTAACAAATTCTTTTTTCTAATAACAATTTCTTTTTAATAAATCCTTTAATAAATCCTTTTTTATAATAACAAAATCTTTTTAACAAATTCCTTTTTCTAATAACAAATTCTTTTTAAACAAATTCTTTTTTTCTAATAACAAATTCTTTTTAAACAAATTCTTTTTAACAAATTCTTTTTAATAAATCCTTTTTTAAATAATAACAAATTCTTTTTAAATAAATTCTTTTTTTCTAATAACAAATTTTTTTCTTTTTCCACACTTTTCCACAACATTAAAAATTAATATTAATACTACTTTACATATATAATAAATTAGTTTATAATAAATTTTTAAATTTTTTAATTTTATAATTTTATACATATATATATATATAATCAATATATATTTATATATATGAAATCTTCAAATCTTTGATCAAAATTGAATCTTACGATTTACAGAGTAATTTTTTCGATTATACAATTTTTCATACTGTACTTACATGTTGTAATTGCTGTATGTAAATCAAAAGCAGCTGAGTGCTTTCTCAAAAAGAATTAGTAAGCGATGATCCGTATGTTATTTTTCTCACATCTTCATTTATTCCCTGTTACAATCTAGACGACGATCCAATATTTTGAAGGAAAGAAAGAGAGAGATCTGAGATGATACACAGAGTCATTAAAGACTTTGAAACATTCAGTAATACTTATAATACCAATACCTATAATACCTACCTAATAAGACACAAAGACCTTATAATGCACCATAATGCACTATAATGCGCAAAGACCTAATGATTTTAAAGATCTCATAACGCAGAGACCATGCGGACCATGCGCCCTCATAACGCGCAAAAGTTAATAACGCGTCATTAAAAAAACATTATAGCACATCATTTTTATTTCGGCAAAAACCGAAATATTCGCGTTATACTAATTAGCCAATAAATAAAACGCGCGCCATTTTCATACAAACTTAAAGGTCAATTATTGCAAAAAAAGTAAAAATTCATGATATTCCAATATTTGGGACCACTTTCGATTGGAATTTTCCGAAACGCCTTTTTTTTCACATGTTAAAAAAAAATATCACGCCAAATTACGAATTACTAAAAGATTTTTTATGGCGCAAAAAAAAAAAAAATTTATTCATTTTATTAATGAGATCTAAAAGAGAAACATATATTTTTTAAAGAAAATTTTAATAGAATAATAATAATATAGAATAATAATCATAACAATCATACGATAAAAAAAAAAATAAAAATAACGTTATCATGATTAGATGTTTTTTAAAACAATCTTTTATTATATGTATAATTAATAACTTTTTTAATAAACTTTAAAAAAGGGGAGATGAAACAAATGTTCATGCGTGAGAAACCTGTTATGAATTTGTGTTATTTGTGCTTCCTTAAACCTTGCTCAAATTAGAAATGTTAGTTATTTAGGTATTTTAATTTTTTTCTTTTTTTGTGTTTCAAAAACAAATGCGCCCCGGATCCCCTTAAATTTTTTTAAAGAAAAATTCAAATTGATTTTTTTTTACCTATTATTCTTTTGATAAAAAAATACCTAACAAAGTTAACTTTATTTAATGGTTTTATTATACCTACAAAAAGTTCATTTACATACTGTCACGTAAAAATGAAAGCTTCGCGTTTCATAATATAAAAAGTATTTTTAAAATATTTTAATTACGTAAAAATGTTTACGTAAAAAAAAAAATATTTATTCAAAAAAAGAAAAAAAGAAAAAAAAAAGTAAAAAAAATTGAACAAAAATGGTTCATTTCACTTTTTCGAAAAAAAAGAATTCATTCAAAAAAAAAAAAAATTTACGGGAATAATTACGCCGTAATGCAACGGGAATGATGCAACGGAAAAGTTTCAAAGGCAACGGAAAGTTTCAAAAACATTCTAAAAAATTTTTTTTAAACTTTAATCAAGGTTTCAAAAAAAATAATTAATTGAATTGATTTTCTAATTACATATGACTTTTTTTAAAGTTTTTAAACCTTCTTTTTTCTCTTTATAATCAAAATATGGAAATTTTAAATCGGATATTATTATTACAAGTTTCTATATTTGAAAATTCAATTCGGTGTATCGCGAACTTTTGGGTTTTTCATTTACCGAGAAATAGACTAAATAGACTAAATAGAACAAAGTATAATGCATTAAAATTATGAAAGAAAAAAAAAAAATAATAATTTTTTTTTTTTTTAAAAAATAACCTAAATCAATCATTTCGACCAATCAAGGTATGATAAGGCCGGTGGTGCCCGTTAATTCAATGTAAGAAATGCAATTATGCAGAACCCTACATAATTGATTGGGGATGACAAAGGATTACAGGGAATACAAAGGTACACAGGGAAATACAAGATTACAAGGGATGTAAGTTTTTTCAGATCCGCCATATCGTCATCTATTATGTAACAGAACTTTTTTGAGGGAAAACATTTTTATCACGAAAAAAAAACAATGTAATAAACCGTTTGAAGGAAATCATCATATGCAATTCTAAACATATATGGTATCTTAACAAAGATATCTAACCTTAAAATAATTTTTGGTCTTTCATTTAAAAAAAAATATTACCCATGTTATTATCATCATTACCCATGTCATTTATTATATTTCGTCATCAATTGAACTAATTACTAAACTAAATTTTTATCGCCAAGAACTTTTTAAAAGTTGTAACCGGCTCTCTATATATATATATGTACACAATTGGAAAAAAATCCATTATAATAATGAAATAAAAGGCGTAAGTCTAAGTAAGTCTTATTTTTAATATACATTCTTTCAATACTAGGTTACCGTTTATTGACGCTTAGTACTAATACATTCGATCATTTTTATATTAACTTTATTTAACTTTAAATATTCTTTGATGCCTTTGCCCAGACCACAATTAATACAATTAACACAATTAGCACAATTAGACAGCAATATCTTAAATTTTAAAATATTAAAGGTAATGTGGCTTTGTATCTGGCTTTGTATCTCATGCTATACTTGTCGTTTTATCGTATCTCCTTTTATCGTTATTAACATTGAGACTTTTTTTTATCTTGAAACTTTCTAAAATGGGTTAAATTGAAAGTAAGTAAAGTAAAAAAGTATTCGTATATAATAATATATAAAATCACGTGTTGAATGTTTGCAACACACGTAAAAACTTTAAATTAAAATAAACATGTGAATTAAAAATAAAAAAAAAAAAGTCTCACGAAAAAACTTTAAATAATAATATTATTATGTTTACATTAAAAAAAAAAAAATGGTTAAAAATGAAATTTTTTTCCCATGCATGAAAATGCATTGAACCATCATTTTATTTTAGGAACTTGGAATTTTTTTTTTTTTTAAACAAGTAAAAAAAATTGGATCATTTTTAAAATAGAAATTTCTTTTTTATTTTATTTATTGAAAAAAAAAAAAATTCAAAAAGAAAAAAAATTCATGGTCGCAATGACGTTACTATTTTTGTGTAACGCTTCAAAAAAATAATAATATAGATATCATTCATTCTTTTTTATTATTGTTATGTATCACAATCAAACCAAATCTTTTAGCTAAGAAAAAAACAAACCTGCCGAGTTATATAATTGTATAATTGATAAGGTACAGTGTAAGTCATACTAGACCTTTTTAAATAATTCTCTGGTTATTCAAATCACGGATTCTGCTAAATTAATCGATCTTCCATGGAATTTTCATGGAAAATCGGATAGACAATAAATTGTCATACTAATGATACTAAAAAAAAAAAAAACAATGCTTAATCTTAAACCAATGAAAAAATTCCATTTTAAAAAAATCAGGTTTTTTTTATTAAATCCTTTGTATTAAATTAAAAAAACATTATAACAGGGGCTAATAATAATTTCAAAACATGACCAATCATAATTGAGATAGAAAAACTCCGTTTTTTTTTTCACCGATACGTGCTACGTAACACGTGCGTCAAGTTGGCAAGTCAAACGTCGAAAGAAATCTGCTCACGGACCGACTAAATGTTGTGTTTCTTTGTTTAAAGTTTATGAAAACCAGTAATTTGGTAAAACTAATATAATATATTCATTTCATTCATAATAATTTTAATAAATTGACGCTTTTTTTCAACATTTAACTCACCTTGCCTTTTCGCCAACCTCTTTTTTACGCACCGTTTTTTTTTTTT